TTTTTGTAAAAGGTTAGGATATAACGCGCTCTGTTACTGCGTTAAATACAGAGCACGGAGCTGAACTTAAGTTGTCTCCATCTGCCAATTTGTACCATGTCCGACCATTTACCGGACTTCTGTTTCGTTCATCTCCCACTCGTTCTCCGCGCTCACTCGTGAGAGATGTCATCAACACTTGAAGATAACATTTGTATCTACGTACGGCCATCCTCTTTATCTCTATGTCAAAACGGATAGACTGGTAAGCTTTTTGCTACGCAAATGCATGAAGCAGACTGCGGTCATTACGAATAATTATGGGAGTTCAAGGTTTCCACTAAAGCTGCTTTTAAATTATTAATATCTAGTCCCAAGTGTAATTTAAACAAACAGAAAAAGAAAGGAGTTCATTTCCATTCTTAGCTTAGCTTCTGTGTCTTTCTTTTACAAGATATATTTTACCTCTAAAACAATTAGAATAGACTGAATGGAAAAAACAATTTGCGAGAATTTAATTGAAAATGTATCCGAATGTCAACACGTATGCGAGATATGAACTGAATTTATCTTGTATTTCGGATTATGCAATTTCTTGGATTGTTTTCATCAGAATTGCTGGTTCGTGCATTTTTATGAGAATCTGAAGAACTATCCTGTTGTCATACATGCAGGAAGTTGATAAATTGGTAATTCATTTGCCATTGCTATGTCCGCATATGTTTATTAGTGACATCGTTTTTCTTTTTGCTTACTGAAAATGTTCAATAGGGAGATAAGAACTCACCAGCAGCTTAGTTAGAATGGGACCGTTCAATTATTTTTTGGCGCAGTTCACTTCTGTTCCTTTAATTTAAACTCAGGATTACAGGAGAAATTTAAATCACTAAGTTTGTTAAAAACTGCAACTATCAGGAGGTTGGGAGGCTTACAAGGCAAACAAAGGTATAATCGTTCTCTACTGCAGAGAAATATTACATAAACCACCTCCCGGTTAGCTCAATCGGTTAAGCGCCGGACTGTTGTGCGGGAGGTCGCGGGTTCGAGCCCCGGCCGAACCAACACTCAGGGTCTTGAAATAATTGAGAAGAATATGCTACCTTTCTATAACATCGATCAAGAAATGGTTAGATATTCTAGTCTTCTCGGATAGGGAAAAATAAATGGAGGTCCCGTCTTCTGCATCTATTAATTAGTTAATTTGGTTACGCAGGGGACGTTTAAGAACAAATTTTAAGATATGAGCGCTATATAACTACAAGTTATTGTTATTATTATTAAATCGATCTGTAACTAATGATCAGGCTTTTCTACTGATTTCACTTTATGTGGTTTATTGTGTTCACAGATCCCTTTCACACCATTGACAACTACCGTTTGAAAACCACAAGAAGGGAAAGTAAGCTTTGGACGACTGAAATCAATATATGTTGAAAGTTGTTTTCTTTTTTACCCTCGTACTCAAATGTATTCATCCATTTCCTCTGCGAAAAGCTGCCAACCCCTTTTACAGATATGTGCAGTTATGTGTTCCAGCGATAGATCAGGCGGGTCTACAAATAGTGGATATAGTTACAGTGCACTTTAATTGCTTATAAGTCTTAAATGAGTCCAAAACACTTGAGCTTTCCAAGGGTGTGGTATCCACTGTTACTGGAATAAGCGGTATCCCCAAACCTCAGTTGCTTCACGGGAAGCTTTGACTTGTTTGTAAGGAAACCGTTGTCCTCTCGCCATGTGTTGTCATTTATGTCGCAGTTGCATCCGTCTGTAGTGTCTGCACATGTATTAGTCAAGCCGCACGCGCATTTGTAGTCAACGGAATCAACTCCTCCCCAGTACTTCATGTTTTCTCCATCACGTGACACCCACCAGCCGAAAGGAGGGTTACCATTGAAGAGGAGCTTTGAGTGATAGCACTCGTACTTTATAAACTGCTCACAGTTACCTGATGAAGCTGTTAGGTTTGCCAGCTAAGCCATATCAGCCTCTGTGTACGTGATGTTGCGAGAATAGGCGCCTGGGTCACTGTACCCTTTCACCAGTGTTCTGCTTTCACTGTCATGACTGACAACTGTCACTCCAACACCGTTCTTGTCAGTCATGTCACAGTAGACTTTAAAAGGTTTCACTCCACCATTTCCATCAGGGTCGATGACGTAAGATCCTCTTGAGAGACTACACAGTTTGATCTGACTGCAGGTTTTATCTCCTTAAAAGCAAATTCAAACTGATCAAATTTAAACTGATCAAACTTAAACTGATCAAACTTAAACTGATCAAACTTAAACTGATCAAGTTTAAACTTCTGCCACTCGAATACAGAAGGGAATCTCGTGACTTAGTTTTACTTTTTAAAATCCGATCTGGTCTTATTAATGTAAACTTTAATCATCTCGTTTTTCCCATTGCATCTCGTTATATGACTTGTTCCGGCGATTTAACGAAGATTCAGGACGACGAGCACGTTCAATTTTAGCATGATTTATTTAGGCAACGAACTACACGACAGACTCTAGCCAGAATGGCGAGAGTAAAACAAACTAAACAAAAACGAAACCACATCCCCCACAACAATGTCACGTGCACGAGTTTTGGCGGGATCATCTTCCCCCCCGTGTTCGACGGCGGGGCGAGGCGGCGGACACTACTTTGCAGCTTCGAGTAAACAAAGTTTAACTGCAGGTCGAGTGTAAACACCACTCTTAGTACGAACTTCTGCTGCTCTGACTCTTCCATCGTCTCCAGGAAACACTCTAATCACTCGTGCTAACGGGCAACACCCACGAGTGGACTTCTCGTCTACGACGAGTACAAGGTCTCCTTCACGGACATTACGAGCTTCGTTTCTCCACTTTCGGCGCTCCGTCAGTGCTGGCAGATATTCTCGGAGACAACGTTTCCAGAAGTGTTGGGTCATTACTTGTGCATGCTTCCATGTCCGACGACTTCGCACGTCTTTGTCACTGACGACATCTGGTGGAAGGTTAGGGCTTCTCCGGCCAAGCAGAAAGTGATTTGGCGTTAAGCTTCTTCATCACGGTGATCGGGACTAACATTGGCCAAAGGGCGACCGTTCATTAATAACTCCACTTCAGCCATAAATGTGAGTAACGTTTCGTCGTTGACGCATTGCTTTCCTGCCACCGCTTTTAGCGCTCTTTTGGCAGACTGAACGAGGCGTTCCCACGCACCACCGAAATGTGGCGAGGACGGAGGGTTGAAGTGCCACTGCACTTCGTTATCAGACAGCTGATCACCGATTCGTTCGCTGCCCAGGCGTTTGATTGCTTCTCGGAGCTCATTCTCGGATCCTACAAAGTTAGTGCCGTTATCTGACCAAATATGGGCTGGCTTTCCACGTCTGGCTATCATCCTTCTTATAGCCATTAAACAAGAATCAGTATTCAGCGAGTGAGCAATATCGAGATGCACCGCGCGAGTAGTCAGACACGTAAAAAGCAGTCCGTAGCGCTTTTCAGTCTTTATCCCGTCACGCACAAGCATGGGACCAAAATAATCAACTCCAGTGTTTGTAAAAGGCGGTTGCATATATCCCAGTCTCGAGTCAGGTAGATTAGCCATGACAGGAGGCTCGGGTCTCGCTCGCAGTCTACGACATGAGGACAACCAGATGTAATCTTCTGAACTGTAGCTAGTCCCTTCAGGATCCAATACTTCTGCCTTAGCTCGTTCAACACATGCTTGTTACTTGTACAGTACAAACGAAGATGGTGATGCATTACGATTAGACGCGTGATTTCGTTCTTCGGGTCCAATATCAAAGGATGTCGTGACTCTTCAGGAAGAGGAACTTTATGTAGACGGCCACCTACTCTCAAACATTCTACTTCGTCTACATAGGGGTCGAGTGCACCGAGTCT